CCTGGGGAAGTGAGTGGACCAGGTAGACCACGCTAACCAACAGCGAAGTTCTGTTCTGTTGAGCTGCACCAAGGGAGGACAGTCATGGGATGAGAAACTCAGGAAGCCTTCCAGGGAGTACCTAGATCTGGGACGCTTCCAGCTCTTCCATATTTATAGTCCTGATCCCTTGTTTTATAGATGAGGAAACCGCAACTTGTCCAGATATTTGTCCAGGTGATGAAAAGAGCCTGAGCAGAGATCCTACTGTCCTATAACATTACGTTGGACAACTCTGGGGTGCTTAGCTGGTGAGGCAACCAGCACAATCAACCCTCAAATTCTCTCACCCACCTGACCTGCCCACACTGTGTAAGGCTCTGTATCAATTATGTTTCTTTACTGCTAGACCCACAGCTCAGACCACTGTGTGGTTGCCAAGGCAGCAGCATGTGGCATGGAGCCTCTGAGATACAACCTCTGGCTAATGAGGAAGAATGAACTACTTTCTGCCCAGGATCTATCACCTGTTGCCTCCTGGAGAGAGATGCTTGCTGCAGATTCCTTGGCCTCTCTGCTCAGGTCCTGTACCCCTGACACACCACAGAACTGGACAGTCCCTCCATAACTGGGCTCTTTGGTACTCTACTCTTGCAAATGCATCTCAGGTCACTGTAAACTTTTTTCAGAGTGGATATTTCTGGAAGGCAGCCATGCTATAAGGGGCAATATTTCAGGGTTTTAAGGTAATGTGATCAGAAAGTGGATATGCTTGTAAATTATGTGATCTTTTCCAAAAATGGTTCAAAAAACATGAACCCATTTGAACTGGATTGAAGGGGAGGCTTGACCATAACTAAAACCAGACGTCTTCCTGTCACACCCTTTGCTTCAAGTATGCTGTCTTTCTAAGATTTATAATGTCTGGATTGTTGTGTTAAGAAGGATTCTGAGAGTGTATTTAAATTTGTTGGGAAAGAGCGCTGTGATCAATTAGCTATGTCTGAAACTAGCAATAAGAGGAACATGAAAAAGGAGGTGGGGAAGGAAGTGTAAAAATGTTGCCACAAAAGGAGGAATTCAAAACTTTCCTTAGCCTTTCAGTGGGTGTCACTACCATGATGCTACGCAAGTGGTTATTATTTTGGGTAACTTTTGTTACTCCTTTTGAACATGATAGTGCAAGAGGGAAAGGATAAGGCCAGATAGGAGCTTATCTGTTTTGTGGGACACCTAGCATATCAGGCTGGAGACTGAGCACTATATTGTTGGCAACTGGGAGCCATGGAGTTGATTGAGTAAAAGAGTGACCCAAGGATAGAAAATACAGAATGAAAAGGCAACACCCGGATCGGGGAGGCTAATAATAGAGATGTGATTCCTGTGGCTAAGGCTGGGACAGCAGGAGGAGACCACAGTCATTCTGCAGAGAAATTAGGCATGGCTTGGACGGTTACACGTGGGCTTTGTACTCTCATCTCATTTATGAAGTTGTTACAAAATATAATGGTGTTAATGTGCACTTATAAATGGCTTCCTCATGTAATGAGTCGAAGACGCCAAAAGAAATAAAATCTAGGTGAGTCTGTTGGCCAACTAGCCAGCCATGTGGAGAAGAAGGTTCAAGGGTTTACTCTGAGGATTCACTTGTTTTAGTGTCACAATGACATCTGCAGCTTCTTAAAAAAAAAAAATGGCAAATTTAAGAAGTGGAGGTTTCTAAGTCATCATTTATCTCAAATGCTCTTGTGGGTCTTCCTCTTTATCTCATCCCTTTCTTAAACCATCTGCTGATCTAGACCAATCAGGAAGATTCTGGAAGCTTACAGCTTTCTTGAAGGAAAGGGAGCCACAACTTAAAAATAAATGGATTCTAGAATACCTGATTAAGTCATGGCATTCAAAAGCAGAGCTGAATTGACATCCAAATATAAAACCCTATTGGGTAGCAATATTTTGGAAAACAAATCCTCAGGCTACAAGATAAGATGAAGAAGAAGCTATCTAGTTAATATCTGTTCCTAGCTCTTCTAGTAACTTCGTGGTCATAAGCAAATCACTCCATTTCTCCAGGCCTCCATTGCCCAGTCTGTAAAATCAGAGGACACAACTACAAAGACTTAAAAGCCTTTTCCAACTCAAACCTTCAAGGCCTCTGATAGTTTCCAGAATGACCTTTGAAAATGTCAGCTAAACACAACTTCACAGAAAATGGTATCACCCACAAGTCAGGCATGCACTCTCTGTCTCTCACACAAAAACATACTCTCTCTTCCCTCCTCCAGTAACACACACACAGAACTGGTTCTGGAAAAAAGAAATCTTCTTTGATGCGCCACTTTAATTAAGAATCATTCTGGAATTGTAGTTAGGAACTCATGCTGTGGTGCATTTGGCTACAAACAGCAGGTGAGGGAATGAGAGATGCTGGCTGAGAGAGGACATCAAGAGGTAGGTCTTGAGGGTACATTCCATTGCAAGGGACGTGTAGGCAGTATCATTGCACCTGCTCTAAACCTGAGCACGGCGTTTTGTAGGAAGTGTCTTAGTGTGAGCCTGTTTGAGTAAATGTTGCTTTCCAGAAAGACTAGATTACTTTCCCTTTCCGAAAGAGTTCAAGTAACTTGAGTTTGTTTTGTTTCCCTCAAGACAATTATAACAAGCTTCAGAAGCTTATGGCACAACTGAACTCTTCAATGGCATGCCTTTTGCCATCGCGAAAGTGAACGGTTGGTGCTTTCTGTGGATCAGAGTAGAGGCATGAGTGCTTGGATCACAGCTCCCCAGGGAAAGTGTTTCTGGACAAATCATTATGGTGCGTAATTGTGCTTGCCTTCTCTGAGTCAAGGGGAAAGGAGCATCGCTGGGCTTCTGACTGTGAAAACACGGGACAGTGGCGATCCTTGTGGGCAATGGTCCTGAACGGCCCTGCCGTGAAACTACATGCCCTGAGACACCTAATAAGGCTTGTTAGCAGAGGCGAGAGCAGCAGTTGCTACAGCAGATGGGCAGGCCTAGGAGTCACTCATCTGCTAAGGCTTATTATGCATGGCCTGTTGAGGACTGAGCTGCCCAAACAGGTGCCACAGCACTCCTGCATCTGGATCAGAAGTAGAGCAGCCAGGACTCTAACTGGCACCAACATGGGATGCCAGTGTTGCAGGAGGTGGCATAGCCTTCTGCAGCATGACACTGGTCCCTTACTTCTGTTTCAAAATTTGCAAAGCACATACTAATTTCAACCAGATCTATTATTTTAAAAAAATAGTTCATGCCCTGACATATGTTGACCTGGTCATTATGCTATCTAGAAATTAAAATCTGTAGGTTAATTATCTCCCATCCGCTTTTTCAGTAAACACCTCTCAGTGCTTACAGTACAGCAGATTCGTGCTAGGTACCAGTGCAGATTGGCAAAAGCCAGGCTGTCAAGGATCTCACCAGCCTATAAAGGAGACAGTAAAGACCACACAGTTAGCCCTTGGCAAGGCAAGAGGTAATATAGGTAGATTTGAAATTCCAAGTCAATCCTAAGAATGGGGGGAGCCCTTTCTGTTGGGGGAAGAGGGGGCTGGTGCCAACAGGAGGCGATGTCTCCCCAGGAGGCCCCAGTGTGTGCAGCACTCCCTTCCAAAACATATTGCAAGTGCTTTCAGACTTCACTATGCACACACATCAACTTGGGGTCTGATGGGAAAGCATATTCCAACTCAGCAGGTCTAAGGTAGAATCTGAGCTTCTGAAATCCATGAGTCCTGTTGTGCTAAGGGAATGGTGCCTGGACCAGGCTGGGTAGCAGAGTGAAGAAAGAGAACTAGGAACTGGGAGTCGCCTGGTTCCCTGTGTATCAGATGCTACAGAATTCATCCTGAGGCTCCATCTTCCATTTCTGGGTGATGATAACACATATCATGTCTGTTTCCAGGTACTATCGGGGGGCCTGCATGGGTTTCCCACAGGGGTGCAAAGGCAACAATGTGACTGGTACACTACTGATATTCCACTTCACCATCCCACTCTGCTGTACACTGCAATCCCAAGCAGAGTGGGTTAATGCCGCACACCCCAAGGATCCCAAGCCCCTCAATTGGCAGCTCTGGGGTGGGCATGCCCTTTAACAAGCCACCCAGGAAATCCTTTAGAGACGCGGGTCTGATTGCATCAGTCTGGGGTCAGGCCTGAGACTGCGTGTCTAATCACTATCAGCTGATGCTGCTAGTCAAATGACCACATTCTGAGTAACAAGAGCCCACATCATCAGTTCTCACAACCAGCTGTACATGAGAGCTTCCATTGTGTCAACCTGAACTGGGTAGGGCTCAGGCACTTTCTAAAAGCACCCAGGTAATTCTTTTTAAGATTTATTTATTATTTGAAGAACAGAGTTGCAAGGGGTGGGGAGGATGGGGAAAGACTGAGAAAGATCTTCCATCCATTGGTTCACTCTCCAAATGGGAACCTTGTCCAGCGCTGAGCCGATCAAAAGCCAGAGCCAGGAGCTTCCTCCAGGTCTCCCACATAAGGGCTAGAACCCAAGACTTCAGCCTCTTCCACTGCTTTCCCAGGTGGGTTAGCAGGAAGCTGGATCGAAATGGAGCAGACAGATGGGAGGTCTGTGCCACAGGCATCAGCCCCCATGTGATTCTGCTGTGCAACCAGCTTTGCAATTCCTTGAACAGTCAGCCTCCCTGGCACTAGCCAAGGAGCTGAAGGAGCAGTCAGCCCTGCGGCCACCTGCTCCTGCGGATCCAGGGTGCAGGGAAGTGGGGCTCAGAGCAGCTGTCTGCTGGAGAGAGGGTGGCCTGCTCCACCTGTCTTCATACAGAAATGGCTTGGGGTACTGTGGGCTTAATGAAAGCAATGGGGCAGCAGGTGCTTGTGCAAATCCAGATGTGATACCAGCTCCAGCTTCAGGCTTCGCTGCTCGCTCCTCCCAGGCTCCCAGTACGATTTTCCCCTGCTTGGCTCCCCTGGGTATAGACTGGGCTGACACTAACCTGTCTCTTCTTGCCCTTGGCCAGGTGGCAGCGGGGAGCAGTCCCCCACAGTGAGCCCGAAGGCTCAGGAGGGTCCAGAGCCTGTGGCCCCCTCGCTCAGGAGTGTGTTCCACATCGAGTGGTCATCGATTCGGAGGAGGAGCAAAGGTGTGACTTCCTCCCCTGGCATTCAGGGCTGGCTCCCCTGGGCTCTAAGAAGATAGTGGCAGGGACAGTAATGGTAGCTCATTCATGGAGTGGGAGGAGACCCATGGGATCAGCTGCGTCTTCTCATACCTCTCCTGAGACCAAAGCCACAGTCTGGGTGACTCCCCAGGTGCCAGGGACAGGAGCTGAGACAAAGGCAAGCTTTGGCTAGCACTCACTTGTGGAGCTCGCTGGCCCTGCAACTGTTAGAAAATTCACCTGGGCAGGCATCCGGGGCTTTTCCATTTCCCCATGAGAGTTCGGCTTGTCAGCAAGTAGAAAAATTGAAAGTTCGCAGCAAAGCTGGAGCTGCCAAGACCCAGGGTACAAATAGAGAGCCATGCAGGGGGCTCCCAGAGGCAATAGGAAGCAACTAAGCAGGTGGAAATCGGAGCTTTGGCATGGAAGTCAAGGACCCCGTGCCAAACAGGGGGAGTCTGGAAGAGACCTGCTGGATTTGAGCGGCTCATGACGAGCCCAAAGGTGGACGGCAGACTTGGGGCACTGCAGGGCACAAAGCTGAGTGCTGGGCCAGTGCCCCATGTCCAGCGCATGCTTTGCAACAGCACATCTGTTGGCTCTGCCTCCCGTGGTTCTAAATCTCAAGATTTCACAGCAAAAGTCAGGCCTGGCAAGGCTGTTAGCTAACACGCAGTTGGAGCTGCCTGTGGCTCGCAGGTAGGGATCCTAGCCGTAGTGTGAAAGAGGGTGTAATATGTCCCCCAAAGGTTAACAAGCTCCCTCCTAACATCCCCCTGTGACCGTGGTTTGGGGCTGGATGCGGAGGGTGCCAGCCAGAGGAGGCTGGCAGAGAGAGGTCAGGCACTGGCAGGCAGAGGGGAGCTCCAGACAGAAGCCAGGGTTGTTCCTATCTGGGACACATTGCCTCCCTGTTCAAAAGAATCCTGTCTGCTTCCAAAATTAGTTCCTCCTGAGTTGTGTGACTTCCCAACCCTACTGGTGTTTTCTGCCACTGCTTGTTCAGATATGTGAGCACAGTGCCTTGGATGCATCCCTTCCCGTGTCTGTCACCACGAGGCACCAGGATGTAGGATGGGAATGGCCCAGCTGGTTGAGTGTGAAAATACAGGGAGGGAAGAACCCAACCTGCATTCTCACATTTGACCACATGGGGGAACCAGAGCACCAACACTGACACTGCGTTAGTCTCCCAAGCATGAAACTTTAAAATAAACTATTCGTAATAATCTAGACAGTCCAGAGCGCCATTTCTAGAGATGTCTAGGATTATAACAAAATTCACCAAAATCTATTTCAAGTGAATATATAGATAACACCTTTCTGAATCCAACTCGCACTTTTTATCAAAATGCCTGAAATACAAAGATCAAACAACCAAAGAGCCTCCAGTTTGGAACCCTAAGGTGTTTAAGACTAAGAGAGGAGGAAGTGCAGGCTTCAACATCATCCCAATTCCTTTCCTTTCTATTGCCAGTTCTCCGTTCAATGTGGGAGAAAGAAGTCCCTGTGCTCAAGACTGCTGGTTCCCCAGCCATAAAATACACAGGTTGAACTACATCAGGGCTTTTCAGTTAAAGTTCATGGAATTTCTGCATTCCCTCTAGTTCCTGTAAAATGTTCTGCTTATGTGAAGATGTACATTTTATTCCCCTAAAGAGAGAGTCCAAATGGGTCTTATGACCAGTAGAAGACAAATGGAAGCTTCCAGGTCTGGGACTCAGGGATTCCTCACATGGAATGGGGAATAGAGAATATTCTAGCCAAGCCTGGACAAAGATAAGTGACTGAGGTGCCATCTGACGATGCTTTTCTTCCACCTGCAGTGTTTGGCAAAGGGGAGCAACAGGAGAGGCAGAGTAAAGTGCCCATCCCCCATCCGTACCGGAAGCCCCCGGTGGACCTGCTTGTGAGTACTGACTGACCATACCAGGGACACTGCCATGGTCAGAGCTGATGGCAGATGGGAGCTGTGGCTGCTCCAGGCATCCTCTGGCTTAGGCAAACTTTTTAAAGATTTATTTACTTATTTATTTGAAAGATAGTTACATGAGGGATAGAGAGAAGTTCCATCTGTTGGTTCACTCCCCAGATGCCCGCAACAGTCAGAGCTAGACCAGGCTGAAGCCAGGAGCCAGGATTTCCGGCCAGGTCTCCTACATGGGCACAAGTGACAAGCTACTTGCCCCATCCCCTGCTGCTTTTCCAGAGGCATTAGCAGGGAGCTGGACCAGAAGTGGAGCAGTCAGGACTCCACTGGTGCCCATAAGGAACGCCATTGTCACGGGTGGGGGCTTAATGTGCTGTGCCAAAGTGCCAGCTGCAGGTAAATATTTCTGAAATTTATATTTTTAGAAATGTTATTACCAGTTGTAAAAATCTCCACTCTTCACAATGTACTCTACCAATTATCACTTTCCTTTTGTCTGGGTGATTGTCTGGCTGCCTCCAACTCCAGCAATTCAAGCATTTGCAGGATGAGCTGGTGCCAGTTTGCAAAAGCAGTCTTGTTCGGGACCATACCTTTGTGTTTATCAACAGTTAAATTATAAAGACAAGCTGGTACAGGAGAAAAGCAATTTCTTGGAGAGGACTTTAGTATAGTGTACTATTTTGTGGTTAAATCTCAACTATACAACTGGACCTTGACCTTTACAAACAAAAGCCTCTACATGCCTGAATCCTCACCCCAAACTGAGGATGAAGGTGCTACTTTGTGGTACCTCCCGGTGGCTGCCCACCTGCAGCAGATACATCAAATGAAAACCCTCATCACCAGACACAGATGGCCACTGAACTAGGCACCAACAGGAAACCTCCTCCCTTCTGAGCCACACAAAAATGTCTTGTCTCTCATCCCGGACAGAGCCTGGGCCCCATGGAGGAGAGCTCCGAGATAAAGGTGGAGCGCACCAGCTCCAGGACCAACTGGATTCAGAGCTCCATAGCTGCTGGCGGGAAACGGATCAGCAAAGCCCTCAGCTACATCACCGGGGAGATGAAGGAGTGTGCAGAGGGCCTTAAAGGTAGGTCCTGTGAGACCCGACCCTCCAAAACGGAGGCCACAGGGGTGGCTTTAGGCTAGTCTGAGTCATGTCTCCCTGCCTTGCAGAGAAGCTAGGAGCTTCGCTGTGACAGCAGACACCCGTTCCCTGAGACCTAGATGCAGGATGTGAAGTGTGGGAGCTCTCCCAAAGGTCCTGCCCCAATTTTGCAGAGAGGATTCTCGAGAAAGTTCTAGAAAATGCTAGAGAAAATTCTAGAGTGACAAAAGTCCCCTAGAAGTTTCAAAGAGAGCAGTGTCTACTAAGTAAACAAGTTCACTTTAGCCCTCTCCACAGAGCTCAACTTTCTGGGACATTTGTGTCACTATCGTGGGGTACAGGGTCCCTAACTCCACCCAGAGATCAGTCTCAGGGGTTTTATGAACACCCAAGTTATTTTCTTTGTGTTTTAAGATTTATTTATCTAAAAGCAGAATTATAGGAAGAGATAAGAAAAATAGGTCTTTCATCCACTGATTCATCCCTAAGCGGCCACAACAGTGGCTGGGACTGGATCCGTTTGAAAGGAAGAGCGTTGACCTCCATCCAGATCTCCCATGTAGGTAGCAGGCACCCAACCACTCATCTTCCAATACTTTCCAGGCATGTTACTGTGTAGCTGAAAGACCGTAGAGCAGCCAAGCCTCAAATCAGTGCTCATGTGGAATGCTCTGTGTTGCTGGCAGCAGCTGACTCCACTGCAATGCCAACCTCTCTTCCAGGTCCTTTATTACCCTCTCCTGTGGCATCTGACAGCAGGGACTAGAATGCCAAGATGCCCTCCTACCCGCTGCTGGTCCTCGGTCTTGCCCAGGCTGCCCTAAGACAATTTGCTGACCTCCCATCCTGACTCTTTTCAGACAAGTCACCCGTGTTCCAGTTCCTGGACTGGGTGTTCCGGGGCACATCTCAGGTGATGTTTGTGAACAACCCGCTCAGTGGCATCCTCATCATCATTGGCCTCTTTGTCCAGAATCCATGGTGGGCCATCGCAGGCTGCCTGGGCACCGTCGTGTCCACCTTGACTGCCGTCATCCTGAGTCAGGACAGGTAAGTCCCCCGCGTGCCAGCCGCCAAGTCTAGGGCAAAGAGCTCATTCCCTTGGGGACCATTCATTTACCCCTCTCCATCCTCAACACCCAGATCCTCAAAATCAGGACGCTGATAAGTGACAGCTGTTCCCAGTGACACATTGTCTGGAGAGATGTGTCGGCTTGACTGGCTTGAGCTCTCCCTCTCCATTTTCAGAAGGCGATCTGTGTGACTCTGAAAACTGAAATAACTGACTTTGAAATTTCAATTCAAAGTCAGCGATTTTCCACCCACTGGCTCACTTCCCAAATGCCCCCCAGCAGCCAGGGCTCTGCCAGACTGAAGCCAAGAGTCAGGAACTCCAGCTGTGTCCAACCCAAGTGAGCCATCACCTGCTGCCTCCCAGGGTGCTCACCAACAGAAAGCTGGAATCAGAAACAGCCAGGTCTATAGAAGGTCTTCCCAAGAGGCCACTGAACTTATCTGGACAATAAGACGCTGAACTTTATGCTAGGCATGTGTTTGCAAGCAATGAATCTCAACTGAACTTGAACTATGGTTATGCAACAAGGTGGAGGAATCCACCATGGGGGGAGGGTTATGGGAGGGGTGGGGGGAATCCCCAGCACCTATAAAACTGTACTACATAATACAATGTAAGCAACAATAAAAAAAAAAAAAAATTAGCTAGAAAAAAAAAAAAAAAAAAAAAAAGAAACAGCCAGGTCTAGAGCTGGGCACTGCAATAGGGGAAGCAGGTGTCCTGAACTGCATCTTAACCACTGTACCAATGCCCACCCCTAGAAGGGAAGTTTACAAGGCCATTGGCAAGTCCCCACTCCACATCCCCCACCTCTCTCCCCCAGGTCAGCCATTGCGGCAGGACTCCATGGCTACAACGGCACACTGGTGGGGCTGCTGATAGCCGTGTTCTCAGACAAGGGTGACTATTACTGGTGGCTTCTGCTCCCCGTTGCTGTGATGTCTGTGTCATGGTAAGTTTCCTTCCAAGGTGATCAGTGCAGATCAAGGGCCATCAACCTTCTCTCCCAACCCATGGCTCAACTCCGTTTTACAGCAGCCTGTGTGTAGCTTGCCCATCAGGAATTCCACTAGAAATGTTCACTGATGGTACAAGGTAATAGTACCACATGGGTCATCCGTGTGCTATTAGCTAGTAGCATTTTCTTGTGATGGAGAGCGTCTCTGGCCTCTCTTTGCCTGAGAATGGGCCAAGAAAATAAGACCACATGGGTCAAGAGCCCTGTTGCAGTGCCCCATCACCCCTCCTACTCCCACAGCTTTGTTGGTCCCCCCAGAGCTGATTAGGCTTCAGGAGACTACTTTTTTCTCTAGAAAAGCACAGGACCCCAGTTACTGCTATGTGGACCACTGTTGAGCCAGGCCATCTCTTGACCAGCATAATCCTTCTGCCCTCAGTCCCATCCTCTCCAGTGCTTTGGGCAACATCTTCAGCAAGTGGGACGTCCCTGTCTTCACATTGCCCTTCAACATCGCCGTGACCCTCTTCCTGGCAGCCACAGGCCACTACAACCCCTTCTTCCCCACAACACTGGTGAAGCCCGTGTCTTCCGTGCCCAACATGAGCTGGCCAGAGATCCAGGTGCCCTTGGTATGTATCCTGAATGGGGAGAGAAACCAGCATCCATCCAAACTGCAGACTGGAAGGACACTTTCACTTATTTTGCATATCCTACTTATACCTATGAGTTATCACCATTGGCATTTTTAAATATGAGGCTTACATGTCGCTTCCTGAATATCTACAGATACTACATCCATGAATACAAGCACCCACAGACCACATACTCTGAAAAGTGCACCTGCACCAAACATGTGCAGACATTTATTTTATTATTATTCCTGAACGATAATTCCCCCAGAATAGCACTAATATATCTAGCACTTAGGTTAGAGGCCATAGAAGTCCAGACATGATTTGAAGTATACAAAAGGATGACTGTAGCTTGGATGCAGATACTACGGTACTGTGTAAGGGACTGATGCACCCAAAGATTATGACATCTGTAGAGGGTCCTACAACCAATCCTCTGTGGAAACACGTGGAGAACTCTACAGATCGTAAGAGCTACCATTCTTTTCTCTTGGTCCCACCCTGATATGGTAAAGAAGATGAAACACAGACCTACCTAAGGTCACCCAGTCAGTCAAGAGCAAAGTCAAGGTTGCAACTCCAGTCTCTTGACTTCCAGTTCTAAGTTCTTTGATGATTCTTTTTTTTTTTTTAAACAAAGTGCTTCTGAGGCTTTAACCCAGTTTTAATACCATGTATGTCGTGTATTTTTCTTCTTTCTGCTATACTGAATCATTAAAATCACCTGCACATCAAGTTCCAGTGTATGGCTTAAGCAGTCACCCTTTCACCCTCCACTGTTCCTTCCATTCACTCTCTGAGGCTCACCACATTTTAAAGCACAGATATCCCTCCAATATGAAACAGTTATAACAGAGCTTTTAAAAGATCGTTTTACAAATACTCTGTATACTACCCTGCCCTCTGCATGTCCGCCAAGGTAATGAGTCAGAAACCACATGAAAAACGTTAACCCAGCAGGGAGACATTCAGGACTTGCTTTTTATCTAACCATGCAGGTTTTCTCAGAGGTCCCCTCATTTTCTGTTACTCTGGAAGCACCCCACCCACATTTACAGCCCAATCTGGTAACCTGGCATGCCTTCTGAAATGGCTCATGACACAGTGGTATCCCACCCTAAGACCCCCACAGGCTTGTTGGAAATAGCAATGCCTTATGTCTCTAGCACTCAGAGTATAGTCGAAAAATCTCCTCATTGCTCTAAGATGCCTTCTTCTTTGGGAAAAGAAACATTACATGTTGGGTCCATCTCGGTTGGTTATTGCATGCATGCCAAGACCTTCATGCAGGAAATGTGAGAAAAGGGCCATGTAACGACTCAGCAAATTGCCCAACCCATCTCCCTCAGAGGTGAAATTATCCTGCTTGGTGTGGTATGGAGAGATGATGTTGGAATATAAAGATGATGTTGGAAGCTTAAGATCTTCTGCCTTCCCCAGGCCGCATCTTCAATTGAAGAGGTATTTGGGAATTTGATAGACATGGAAGAAGCAAAAACAAAATGAAATAATTCTATTCGGGTGCTTAGGAGCCCTGGCTCAAAGAAAAGAAAAACAGTTAAATGTTGGTGATTACTCTTTAAGGAGTGACTTTCTGGCTAATTAAATGAATTGTAGTAATAAGGAGTCAGTTGTCTTTTTGACAATTTTCATTTGAGCCTTGAGATTTGAGAGAACTGGTGAATGGCAGAGTCCAAAATCCCCAGCCTTAGAATCCCCAAAGACTCCATCCAGTTCTGCTAGGAATACTGGAGAGTTCCCACCACTACCACCATCATCACCAGCATCACCATCATCACCACCATCACCTCCAACAACAACAGCAATAACCACCACCACTACTAACACATGAGGAGGATGCTGACCGCGAACAAAGCTTCCCAGGCTGTGGCCTTTACAGAACTCTCTCACCAGTGTTCTGTGCCCTGTAGCATGGGGCTAGAGCCCCATTCTGTCACAAGGCCTGAAGTAACAGCAGACTGAGCCTCCTGCTTAGCCCACTGAAGCCATACTTCAGGCTCCATATCTGCTGTCATGAAGGTGTGAAGTCCCTGAAGCTGCAGACTCCCCTTCCCCTGACACTGCTGGGAACAGTCCTCTCAGGGGACACAGTCTTAGACAACAGTCGTCTTACCTTCATCCCTTCACTAACTCACCCCAGTGTATTGTCCTGGGTGAGGCTGCCCAGTGCATCCTACTTGTGGCCCATAGCCTCAAGTAGCTCCCTGACTCAAGGGACCTCAAACAAGCCCCACCCCAAACACAGAACTCAGACTCCCATCGATGGAGAAGTCTGAGTCTCCAGGATCATCTTCCCCAACCCTGGGTCACACATGCAAGTACCACACCATCAGACTTCCTCAAGCACCCCACCAACCCCAGAGATACATGGAGGACTGAGTTATGCAAGCACTCCTTGGGGTTTATCAACCAAAAGAGCAGAAGTCAGACAATATTACAAGCACACTTCAAAGTGAAGGTGGAGAATGGAAAAGATAAGCACTTCGGGGGCAATAAGAATGAAATCTAGGCATGTAAAGAGTTGTCAAAAAAGCTCATGTATATTATGACAAAACTATACGTGGGTTACAAAGTCTTCTTGCACCAAAATTAACTTATCTACTAATTCCATTTTCCATGAGCTTTTTGAAGTCCCTTTGTGTCTGCTCTGGGCCCTCTCTATTGATGTTAATACAATTGCTCACCCAGACATTGTGGTTCTGGGAAACACACAATGCCATCCTTCCACATAATGTTTAGCCTTTTGGTCATCTTTTTTGGTTTAAAAAAAAAAACACAGGAGGATTTGGAAAGCTCAACTTTGATGAGGTATCTATTATGTTTCTATTGAATAATACCTTAATTTGAAAGGTAGTTTTTCTTCACTGAGAGATAAATATCTTACATTCATGTTTCTAAATATGAAACTCAACATGTTAGCTTGTTAGTGCCCTAAGAAGTCAAAGTTCATGTGCTAAAACTTTGGTTCCTTGTGGATGTCACCTGTTGGAAAATCTGTTATGAAATGTTAGCCTAGAAGGTTGGGTACCTAATGGCTTTGCAGCTGAAGTTCACATTGTTTCCTTTGCCTCCACAATAAGCTTATGATCCCTATTGTGCCCACAGCTTTTGAAAGCCATCCCCATCGGCATTGGCCAGGTGTACGGCTGTGATAACCCCTGGACCGGAGGCATTTTCCTAGCTGCTCTGTTCATCTCTTCACCTCTTATCTGCTTACATGCAGCAATTGGATCCATCATGGGGATCTTAGCAGGTCTGTGTCAACTCGTACCCTCATTAATTACAGGAAAACTGTGATGTGTCTTTGATGCACAGTGCTTGCTTCTTCGTGTTTCCTTGAACAAAAAGCTGCCTGCAATAGAAGGTTTTGGTATCAGTCATGGTCACCCTAGAGTTTTGGAGACATTTCTTCCAGACATATTTATATTGATTCTGGTCATATTTTGTTTCCAATGATAAAAGGAAGGATCTGTTCTCAGAAAGATCTCCCTTTAGGGCACCAGTAAAACAGTGTTTGGACTTCTGAAGTGAGTCTTGCCCCAGATGATGTCTTCAGCCTGCACCAGCTTAACAGTTGGTGGTCATGTGGTCCTTGGTGCCCAGGTGGCTCCATTAAAGGCTTTATATACAAATGATTTCTGATCTTATTCACTACATATGTATTGAATGTTGTATACATTCTTATAGATCACAGGTGTTTTATTTTCTGTTTTAATATATAAGGATACATAACAGGATAACTGATTCTGAGCTTGGAAGACTGGCAAATTTCAGGACATGCAGGGAGCTCCTAGATGACTCTGACACAACACTGACACCTGTCTTCGCCCGCAGGGCTCACGATCGCAACGCCATTTGACTCCATCTACTCTGGCCTGTGTGGCTTCAACAGCGCATTGGCTTGCATCGCAATTGGAGGCATGTTCTACGTCATCACCTGGCAGACACACCTTCTCGCCGTTACCTGCGGTAGGTGCCACAGACAGCATATGCACATCCAAGACACAATGGTTCAGCCACATGAAGACAGACTATGTTGGAGGTGATGTGGGTTTCCAACAGGGGAGTGGAACTAGCTGAAGAGCCCCTCTCCTTGCCAGATAATCTTTATATATAGAATCAAGAGACTTGCATCATATGAAGCAGCAAGTCTGAAGACCTAAACTGACACAAGCCTTCTAATGATCCCTCCAGATTACATATTGGTTCCAAGCTCCAAGAAATTGCATTGCAACCATTTGGTATATTATCCCCATCCTTAAATGGTCTTCAGTTATTTAACATGAAAGGAAACCAAAGAAAACTCCTTTGATGGAGATAATTCAAGCAGGCTCTGTGCAGGCACAGCTGTGGACTATCAGCATTACGTAAATGAGGAAACTTCCAAAAGTGTGTGGGCAACTGGCATTCAAAGATGTCTATTTTGGTGTGCCTGCAGAACTTAAGGCCCACACGATAACAGCATCTAATGATTATCACTTTTAACCAAAACATTTTTACAAACATTGTTCTGTTCATTCATTGTGGACCCTGGAAACTCAAGCTCTGTTTTGCAGTTGGGGATCCTGAGGCTTCGGGGAGGTCTACAGGCACAAACAGACAGAGTCACTCCACCTCCTACAAGGTGGAGAAAGATCTGGAAGCATATGGGAATGCGCTCTCAGATAAAAAATGGTAAAACAGGTAATGATGCAGTCATGTGTTCCATGGGCTTAGTAGGCAGAAGATGCTAAGGTAAAGCCATCCTAGGAAATCTGGAACACACAGCAGTCAGCTGGCTTATATATGGGGCCTGGACGTGGTGGTCTGGACAGGTTCCTTCATCAGGCAGATCAGCCCCATTTGAAAAAAAAAAAATGCCACAGTGAATAATCTCATGTTAAATAGATCAGATTTACTCTTTGACCTGAAACTCAGACTTACCCCTAGTTATTTCCTCACTGAAATGCCCCAGTACAAGAATTGCAAACTCTTACAGGTGGTTTTAAAATTAATAGACATGTGTATTATTAAGTTGATTAGAACCTACCCTTTTTAAAATAAAAGTATCTACTCACTAGAAATAAAAAAGGAGACCTGAGGACTTTATCAGGATTCCAGGTTGTGTGATAATCTGTGTAAGTGCACCTGCCACACAACTCCAACCAGGGTCAGGGCACAGAGGTGGTCTAGACTCTCAGAGGCTTGAAGCTGTAGGCTTTGTCTGGATACTCAGAGCCCAATAGTCTGGTCTGCTGGCTAGGAAATGGCCATAAGGGATATGCCTACCTACCAGCTTCAAGCTCTGCTTACGTGCTAAGGAAAGTTCACTTTCAACCAGCAACTCCTGAATGCAAAATTTACTCTAGACGGTACATTAATGGTTCTGCACCAGGGGTTATTTCCCAAGCGACATTTAGCAGTGTCTGGTGATGTTTTTATTGGTAATACCTAGGGAGGAATGGGTATTTATTGGTATTTATTGGTATTGGTCCTATGGATATCCAGTGGGTAGAGGCCAGATGTTAGTGCACGTTCCCCAATGCTCAGGATAGACTCCATCACAATTATTTAATTCAAAATATTGGTGGCTCTCCAGTGGTGAAACCTTGAGATACTGCATTTGTTTTTTAAGTCTCAGCCTGTAAGATGCGTACATACTATTACCACCTCCATTTTATAGATGGAGAATGGAGCTAAAGGAATAAATTACCCAAAGTCATAAGAGGGTTTCAGACAATTTCCCTGTTAGTAACAGACAAATTTTATTGGAAATAATAGTAATAATAAATAACAGAGGAGGAACAAAGTGAGAATAGACTCCCAGACTAGATGAGTGAGTCAAGTGGAGTTGGGGCTTTCATTCCTGAAAAGACCAAGTCCAGAACTCAACAGAGGCCTTCAGGGTCCCCAGGAAGAGTCGAGCCCTTTCCTCTGTAGTCACTGGGGATTTAACTGACATGAAGGATGGCATGGCCTCCCACTCGTCTTGAGAAATAACTTGTCCAATGTGAGTCATGAAACAGTTGCCTGCCCCATGCTGTACTCAGCTTTAATCTCCTGTGACTCTTTCTCCTTGAAACCCCAGCTCTAAACCAGCAGGGGCACCTCCAGCCCAAAGACTGAGTATACAGTCAGGTTACTTTAGCTTTGTGGGGGGGGGCCTCAAAATGATGAAATGAAGATGATACTTGTACTTATAATGTAGCAATGCTGTAGAGTATGGTTGGCATCGCTCATATGAACTTTCTAGCAAAGGTTAACTTTCATTCACATCTTAGGGACAACCAGGTGGTTCTCAGATGAGAAACTCAGGGCTTTGTGACACAAAGACCAATGACACTGGCCCATTTTCCTAGTTTCTCACTTAGGTACCCTTGGGTCTTCCTCATAGCCAGCCTGACCACTCTCCTTGCAGAGCATAGAAGACAAGACAGCAGGTGCATTTGTTCTCCCTCAAGTGCACAGAAGGCCATCCACCCTGAAAATCCCTATCATGTTACTAACTCGTGATGAAATATTCCTGCAGAGAGCTCTGGGACTCAATTGCCTTTTCTGTTTAGTAAAATTTTTCACTTACGCTTTATGCTGTTAAATATTCCTTGGCTTAGATACAAGGTGGTAGGACCCAAGAGAGCAATAGCAGTTCAATTCTGGTCCTTTAGTAAAGTTTATCTTCTGTCTTAACAGTGCCAAAATTCATGTAGAATTCGGCACTTTTAAAGCTACCAAGGAATGGAAATGTAATGAAATTTTGTCTTAATATAAGAACTAGCATTTGTAGCAGAAAATCTTTGGGGAGAATATATGTAGACTAAACTCGAGGCACTGTCAAATCCTTACTGGGATCTTTCTTACTGGTTCTTTTTTTTCCCCCAGCCTTGTTTGCAGCCTACCTGAGCGCAGCCCTAACCAACGTGCTAGCTGTGGTGAGTCAAAGAGGACGGGCTACAGTGCACCCACGTACTTTACTGGTCTTTTCTCAACTTCCAAAGCCAGCCTCAAAACCCCTCCTCAGGATCCCTTTCTGGTCCATCACGTCATTTCAGATCATACTCTTCACTTCATCATCACCAAGACAGACAAGCTGGGTCTCAAAAATTTAAATGTCAACTGCTGACCAACCAAGCCTATTGCCGGTGGATTCCTTGTAGGAAACACAAACTCCCTTCAATTGTATCATTCTTCTCTAGAAGGATTCTTAAGCCTCCTCTCAGTGCTGTGGGTGCTCCTAAATTATTTGTCCATCTAAGCTGTGGACCAGTGCACATCTTTCTTCTCCCATGACAATTATCCTGTTTAGGAAGGACACTAAGAGAGGCTTCAGGAAAGCGGGAGAGCCAGACCCTCACTAAGCCAGAGGAGCCAGAGCTGCTGATTTATGGGCACAGGAAGCAGTCCAGATACCCTTGCTTGTCTGAACCCCAGACTGGGCTGGTGTGTGAGGGCAGAAAGAACCACTGTACTGAGTACTCATGGCTCAGCTGATTGTCCATGTCTCTTGGTCTTAGACACGGCCATTACAGCATATCTCTCATGACAGCCAGGATAAAACCGTGCTGATGCTGCAGGTGAAAGCAGGATGGAGATCTGTTCATGCCTGTCCCAAGTCTCTCCCTAGCCTCTGATGGAGACAACAGTTTGGACTTAGCATGGTAGCCATCTCTAATACTATGCTCTGTCCTCCAGTGGACTAAGTCCTCCCTCTGGGTCCCATTACATCAGTACGCACCTTGGCTTTTGACATATGATCTTGTGATAAGTTTACTATTCACTGGTCCCCCTCCTGCTCAGCCTGAATGTGCCTGCTTAACAAGGGTCCTATTGTATTGTCATCATCTTTACCTTTACCTGCCATAGAGCCCAACATGTAATAACTTTCCAAGACATTCTGAATGAATGCACCAACAAGGTGGTAAGCCCCCAAGATGCAGAATGGAAGATCTGGGGATGAACCACTGGCCATCAGAAAGAGTGAAGAGTGAGGGGTACCACGACCACTGAGGCTCCCTCCATTCCAGACTTTGCTGTCTCCTCCAACACTCATCTACTTGCTGGCTCCTCCATCCATGTTGTGCCTTCCTCAGTCCTGGAAGAGATGCAAGACAGGAAGACCTGCTTCCCTGGTTCCTGATCACAAGTGTTGACACTAGTGACTGGCCTTTCCTCTGATCACAGGGAAGCTGGTTTGTGCCATTCAATTCAGACAGGTCAACTTCTTGTGTGTCTACTGAGTGTAACACACTGCTGACTGCTGTCATGGATACAAAATAGTACAGGTTATTAACTCACTGAGGAGCGAAATATAAAGATGTTGGAAGGCATATATTAGCCTATTTACGGCTTTCGCAGGAGAGCTCTTAGCCACCATCTGCTTCACGCTCTCCTTAGGACCATTGCTCAGTACCTAGTGTACATGGAGTACCAGCTTTCTGATAGCACTACACATACTTGTATTCTTATTTTACAATTGAAAAAAATACTTCCCAGGAAGGTTAGAGCTGGGACTCAGACATCAACCTGTAGGACTCTAAACCCACACTTTTGTCATTATACACCTGGAGGGATGTTTCCCCAAATACCTGTGTAGTGCCTAGCAGGGCTTTGGCAAGAGTCTGAGTGGAGCTCATCAGTCAGTATTGCCTCAGTTATGGTAACCAGGCTGTAGCCAGCCACACTTCTCAGATAAGGCATGTCATCAATATAAGGGTTCATTAACCCCACTGGGGCTCCAATGGCCGCATGTTCAAATGTGTGCGCTCACCTCTTACAATACAGACGGACACCACTGGTATGATTGTATAGGTTATAAATATATACCATATTTATATTGGTTGTCAATCAAGCATTATACTTAGCAACACCAAAAAGCACAAGTTCCACTCCTCAGGGCTGTGATGGTTGGTACAGGGTGATAAAACAGCCTTGTCCGAGATAACCAAGGCTTCTCGCATTCTCCCTCCCTGCAGTTCGGACTACCAACCTGCACCTGGCCCTTCTGCCTCTCAGCGCTCACCTTCCTGCTTCTGACAACCAACAACCCTGCCATCTACAAACTCCCACTCAGCAAAGTCACCTACCCTGAGGCCAACCGTACCTACTACCTACAGGAGAGAAACAGAAGGTCGTCAACGATAACCAAGTACCAGGCTTACGATGTCTCCTAAGTTGTCCTCTCCGAAGCACTGGAAATTCAGCCTCCAGGAAGCTGCCCGGTCCCCACACCTAAAGCCACCCAAGCTCCCCATCTACGACTTTCCTGCACCCCTGTCAAGCAAGCCTCTACCCCAGTGATTCTCAAACACAGGGAAATGTGTGTGTGGTCACCCATCAGGAAACTCTAAACTGTGCACCATTGATCAGATATATTAGAGCTTCATACGCCTGGCTAGCCCTGTGAGAGCTTCTACCTTTGAGGGGCACATGCCCTCTTTTGCAAAATAAGTCCCCTACAGATGGAGAAGAAGGTCCCTAGGGGGAGAAATGGGTGACACGGTCACTCGTGTCAGTCTCTGAATGAGGTGTGATGGCCAGTCCTGCTCCTGTTCTGCCACTCATGGCTTCTCCCTGACTCCACCAAGTCCTTTCCCACTCAGTCTTGATGTCTTATTGGCAGGGACTTGTTCATGACAGGAAAGGTCTCCAAAGTCCCTTCTACCCCAAAAGTGTTGATTCTTCCCTCTCTCCTATAAACTGATGAAATCAGTGTCGATCATTAATTGCATTGAGGGAAAGATACAAGAGATGCCTGGAGAAGAGGCAGCAAAACATTCAAATGCTGAGTGCAGGATTATCCTGGGACTAAGAGGGGATGCTCTTCAAGTTTGGAGTTAAGAATCGAAATTCACTGACTATGCCAATTTGCTTTCCTTTGCCTAATACAAAGATTTCTGAAAATATCCTAAAATGGAAGCTGATCTTTTCCAGTCTTTAAATCACATTGTTTTAAAAAAAATTGTCTTTCCTCTTATTGTATCCAATAATCATGCTGTCATTAAACTATTTAAAGATGCAACTAGGTATCCGGTGCCCTTACAATGGTGTCCCTTACAACAGAATCCAGCACTGGCCCCTTTAAAGGTTTTCCACGGCCAAGGTCAAGTATGTATCTGTAGAGGGGCTAGAGTGAATTGAACATGGACAGTGTTTGATTTATGCCAAAGCAAGCAGGGGCATGGTTACCTGTTTGGGTTAAAGCACCATTGGTTAGTAACCCATCTTCCTTTCTTAGGTTTGTGCCTCCCAAGTCCAACCCAGCTCCTCTTGAATGTCTAGTGACTCACCATCTTTAGCACTATGGTTCAAGTCCTTAGCTCCTAAGCCACAGAACTCTGTGGTGGGAGCCACGTGGTCAGCCTTCCCACCCTTTCCTCGGAGGAGCCTCCCCCGCTGCCACAATGAGACCTCCCCCTCTGTGCGCACGCTTCCGGTTTAGCCTGACGGGTAAGAGGACCCCAGAAGGGAGGCAGCGGAGGAAAGGCAGGGGACAGCACCTCTCTGAATGCAGTGGTCAGGAGAGAATCTCGTCTTACTAAAAGCAACCCTTTAGAAAAAGCTAGTTTCTACATTTTTTTTCTTTTTTCCACTTGCTCTAAGATCTGACCCATCTTTCACCATCCCACAAGTGTTGAGCAACTATTTCTCTGCCAGATCGCATTCAACTTATGGTGATTTTTCCAGGAAAACGAAGTTCTTGTCTGTGGAGATCCATTCTTTACACAGGATAGGGAGCAAGTCACATTCAGGAGGCCACATTCCTGAGTTTGTCATCATACCTTCAGGCCAAGAAGACCTCCAGCTGTGTTTTCAGGCCCACAGAATGGCAGCTGCCTGGGGAATGAGCATCCAGGAGGTTCACCAGCAGGCTGTTGATGCACATAGCTCACTCAGCTGCCCCCAACTCTCCAAGGGATGATAAAAAAACTACTGAAGTATTAGTTCTCATGCCTTTTCCACTAAAGCCCTCTCTGAGCATGCCATTCCAATTGCTGCTTGTTAATGAACACTGTCAGCTGATCTAAGGATACCCTTTGGTTGCCATAAAGCATGCTCGCTTGATCCAGGATGCAAGGTACAAACAGCTGGGACCGAAGTATTCAACCTGGGAAAACTCACCATGTCAGTCTAGACAAGCAGTTCAATCAAGTATTGACAGCCAACTAGCCAAGCAAACATATTTCTCCCAATGCCATGCAATGACTTCATATTGACAGTGTGAACTTGGAGGTTGATACTGTGAGCTCAGCAGGAGGGGAGACTTTTCAGCACAGCAGTCTACACAGTCTACAAGTCTGGGCATGTACCAGGAAGAATAATATACTTAACAAGCACACATACAACACAAAAGGTACATTGGAACATGAGCGAGAAAAGAGGTTGGCGTAGGAAAATGAAGGAACATGCATACTTTCACACATCCAAGAAAAGACTTTGTATGGACCAAGTAAGATAAACTGCCAATGGCTATGGCAGATCATGAAGTGTTAGAAAAATTATTGAGTGGGGTGGATACTATGCAAATATGCATGTATGCATATACATGTATCATATACACGTGTACACACATAGCTGGTTTTGTCTCTGTGGGATGCTTGTGACAACAGGGACTGCTTAACTTGCTGTGCAAAACAGCCCCATCTGTGTGGCTCGTTAAAATTCAGCTCCCTGGGACGAGCGCCCTGGCATCACAGGTTAAGCCTTTACCTGCTGCACCAGCATCCCATTTGGGCATCGGTTCATGTCCCGGCTGTGCCACTTCTGATTCAGCTCTCTTTTTATGGACTGGGAGAGCAGCAGAGGATGCCTCACATCCTTAGGCCCCTGCATCCATGTGGGAGACCCCAAGGGAGTTCCTGGCTCCCGGCTTTAGATCGGCTCAGTTCCGACCACTGCGGTCATTTGGGGAGTGAACCAGCAGACAGAAAAATGATACTACCTCCCCTTTTCTCTAAAACTGCCTTTCCAGTAAAAGTAAAATAAATCTTTTTAAAATAAATAAAAATAAAAATCAGCTCTCTCTGGACCACAACCCCAGACTGGATACAATGGATGTGGGTGGAGCCAGGAATCTGAGCCACCCAGAAACTCTTGAGCTACAGATGAAGTCTACTGGATCAAGATGCAAACTTTAAGGCCGCTGTGTAGGATCTTAGCCCCAACTGGATTAGAATCACCTGACTGTGATGCCAAGCGGTATTCCAGACCCATCAAATCAACACTGAACCCGAGCTCTTTCTTAACTTCTGGAGGTAATTCCAGCATGCAGCCAGGTTGACAACCTGTGATGTCTGTTTCCTGAGCTTCAAACCTGTGTCTAATTAGAGATGCTCCTGTGGCTGTCAAGCCCTCAGATTCTGTTCTCAGTTCCTTCTCCACTGCTCTTTTTTATTTTAAATTATTTTCGTTTTTTGAATTTTATCATACAATTCTGGGATTATAGTCTGGGATTTCCCTCCCCCCAGTTTCCACTGATCTTTCCCTAAAATGCAACATTGGTCACACAATTTAACCTGGACTTTATGTTGTTCAATGTCACTTGTCACGCCATTTGCCAAATTCTAAAGCCAGGGTCTTGTCCTTTAAAAAAAATTTTTTTTTAGTTCATTTGAAAGAGTTAGAGAGAGAGAGTCTTCCATCTGCTGGTTCACTCCCCAAATGGCTACAACAACCAGAGCTAGGCTGGTCTGAAGCCAGGAGCCAGGAGCTTCTTCTCGATCTCCGAAGTGGGTGAGGGGTCCAAGTACTTGGCTCATTCTCAGCTGCCTTTTCAGGGGCATTAGCAGGGAATTGAACCTGGAATGGAACTGCTGGGATTCAAAAGAGTGTCCCTATGGAATGCCAGCTCTACACTGGACCAGCCCTGGTGGGATCCCCATTTTATTACTTGGACACAACAGACTTTGGGGTCGAACAGATCACAAGCACAGAATAAGCACAGCGTGTCCTTCTGACTGTCATCTGTGCATGGTTGAGCTCCTGGTTCCAAGGAGGGAAAAGCGGAGGGAGGTGGTGCTTGATGAGCGTTCACGAAGAGAGGGAAAACGCCTGAATGCCCAAGGCTCCAGCTGGGGGACCACAAAAGCTCCTCTGGGGGTTTCACAGAATTAGCTCTTCCCCTTCGGTCTTTAATCCACTTCGGCTTCACTTGCACCTAGTGTGGAATGTTCGTGCCTGCTGGTGACAGCCAGTCGTGCCAGCACTATGTGTTAAAAGACTTGCACATATGCACACTTCCTCCTAAATCCAGAAACACCTTTAGCTCACGTTCCTGTCGCAATGAAGAAGTGGTTAGAGAACTCTCTTCAGACCTCACATCAGAAACTGTACCTTCCAGCCCCGCACCTTCTGAGCATGCCCACGTGAGAGAAGCATGTTCATCCTAGAACTGAGACAAGTTACCCACAAAAAGAGGCGGAGGGTAAGAAGAATCCAATACTGAGCTGTACCTTCCTGCACCTTCTTCCCCTCCTCTTCACCGCCCACTTCTTGGCCCTTTTTGGCCCTTTATCCCGCCTGCCCAAACCCTGATGTCTGAACTCACAAACTTTGACTTGTGTTACCTCCAAAGAGCTCGCCAGAGGGCGCCAGAGCACCTTCAAAAGCCCTACGAGGCTCCCTTTGCCGCCTGCGTTCCAGCGTTGCAGGCTCAGTCAGCTCAGCACCTGCTTGCTCTCCCTCACCAAAGGCGGAGTCGCGTGCATTAGAGCGCATGCAAGCACACTGATAAAAGAAAAGCTCTTAGATCTGAGGCCTGGGGAACCTGAGAATATCACCTCCTATTGTGATTTTTTCGTCTGAAGGAGAAGTTAATGAAGATCTGTCATTGGAGGTCTTTTCATGATTAAATGAGATACTCAAGGTTAATTAGCTGCTGGTTACCAGTCCACCATAGGCAAAGTGAAGTTTCTTCCTCAACATGTCCAAGGGATTTCACAAACAGCTCATCTCTCATTTTCCTAATCAGCCTTTCACATAGCTGGAGGGCCCCCCCCCATCTGACTTTCCAATATAAATAAATAAAGCTTTAAAAATTAAAAAGAAAAAAAAAGATGTGGCTTCTCCAAGGGTCCCTTTAGATTGCTCTGAGAACTCGGGTCCAGGGTCGCCATGCTTACTTACCCTGCAAGCCTAGCACCCAGAAAGAAAATGATGTTCCCATAAGGAACAC